GATGCTTTCTTGCAGTGCCGAATATGTTGCGGTGGCTGGCGCGGGAGATGTACTAAGGGGGAGTCTGAGTGTGTTGTACAAAAGAGAGAGAAGCAGTGTAATACTTTGGATATGCGGCCACCTGATGTCTGGCAGTTGCTTTGGTATTCGTCTGGCCCTTGTGCATGTGGGCTGGCCTTCGGGCCAAACTCAGGCTTGGTCCGTTTTCTACACCTAGAACGCATATATTCAACCCAACTTAATGCCTTCTTCTATCTAGTGGGAAGTCTTGGAGTTACATATCCGATCCAATTTAATGCCTTCTTTTTTCTAGTGGAAAATCTTGAGAGGCTATATTTGTTTTTCACATTTGAGTGGAATCAAAAAATTGCTAAATTACAAATACCATAGATGAGAACCCGCTTCTTCTTCTTCCAAGAGTGGTGTCGTTCTCTCTGTTGCAGCACTGGGTTATGATTCATTCCCTTTACCCCAAAACGTGCATAGTTAAACACCAAGCCTTCTGTCTCGCGTATTACTTTAATCACACTGTAATAAATTCCAGCCTTAAGAGCTACGTAAACAAAAAAGGTCTTAGAGGGTTTACCTCCTGTGTCCGAATTCGCCCTATGGGGGTAATTCCGCGCTCCGTACTCGAGACCAGGCCCGGCTGCTTTTGGAACAGTACTCGAGGGTCGAATAGCTCCTTGTTTCGTATTTCGTTTATGGATTTAAGGAAGACTTTCTGAAAAAGCTGTGATGATTGGGAACACACTACACTTTCTCCACACTCTGACTTGGGCTGCTGAATTCTTAAACGTCTCCACCTCCAACTTACTGCGACGTGGTTACGCCTCCAACCGTTCTTGATCCCCACGTGCACACTAGAGATAGAGACGGGCCAGCGACATCCAAGATCACGTACTCGCCCGCTGTACTCGTATTGCGGGCAAGGCGCTGACTACGATTTCACTAAACTCACTGGGTAAAAAAGAATTGGGTAGCAGATCACGTAGAGGAAGAGTAATACATAATGTAGCTTTCATTTGAGTTCACGCGCAGGAACGGAGTGTATGAGTATGTAAAAATTGTTTCGGATCAATTGAGAAGCCGTGCCTAGGGGGTCACTACCATAGCTTCTATTTCCGTGTCCATATTCATGGACTCGGAGACCTCCCGCTTGTCGCCGGTTCCGCCACAACCCTTCTTGAGGAACTCGATCGCCTCAGCTGCATAGAATCGAACGTCCATATCAACGTCCTTGAGGAGACGCTGGAGGCACGGCATCACAACCTCTGCACCTACCACCGCTCCCACTTTTGCCAGAGCTTGTGCCACCTACAAAAAAGCGTGCACTTATTTTAAACCATGAAAATAGACCCATATGTTCCTTAATAAAAAAAATCCCACCGACCGACCTTGAAACGGACATTTGGCACCCGGTCGTGATCCATCCGGAGAGCAGTAGGAAGAAGAAGTTGGGAGCACGTCTCAGCGTCTAGCACCGGACTGAGGTTAATAATACATTGCAGACTAATCATCCTCTGCAAGTAGTTCTCGTTCTGCGACAGCTCTGCTATCTAATAACAAGCACAAAAGCTCACACAAAACCGCCACACTTAAATTTAAAATGCACCTTCAGTAAGGAAAACTGACCTGGGAGAGAAAGAAAGTGCGAGCCCACATTGAACCGAATTTCTGTGTTAGACGGGTGAGGTTTATCACAGCAGCTTCTCTCACAGCATAGGCAGCATCGGCGAGCCAGGAAAGAAAGTGCTGCATTAGGCGCGTCTCAAAGAACGTTTCACCCAGTTGATCAGCCAAGAGGGGCATCTGATTAATCACCGCCAGACGGACCCGCCACACTGGCACTTTGGCTAACTCCACGATGGCTGGCAGAAGACTGGCTGAAACCTCCTCCACTCCCACTACGCTGTTTACTAACTCGAGGCTCGTGATCACGCCCAACCGCACGTCCGGTGACTCATCCTTCAGCTGGGCCAGAATGATCGGAAGCAGGTGCGCCACAGTTAGCTCGCGACCAAGCAGTGGGGCCAGTCCGAGCACTGCCTGACCCAGCTTCACCTTTACGTGCACATTGGAATCCGCGTTGAGATCCGCCATGGCGGGCAAGAGGCGCTGTACAATAAAAGCCTCCGCATCACCCAGAGCTTTTGGTGTTGAAGGGTCTTCTGTCTCGCCTTCGCCAATTCCTCCTGTTCCACCCTCTATAATTCCATCCATCACCATTGAGACCGACGCGGGAACACTATCAATTTTGTCGGTGGTAAGGGAAGCAGCAGCCGAAGAAACCGACTGACCGTTCAAAAGAGTGCTGGTAAAGCTCGTAATCTGAGAGGCTGCAGCACATCGTACCTCCGCTATGTCATCCGCAAGAAGAGCGAGGAAGAGATCCTATACAAAAACAGACCATAAATATCAAAAACGACCAAGCGGTGGACAAACTTATGCAACTGCGAACAGACAATAAGACAGTTTTTGGTGACTCGAGAGCCAAGGCAATTCTGCAAGAGGGTAAGCTTCTTCGCAAGAAGGCATCGGGAGCGCCAGGATTTGAATTCAAGGATTTTTTGCAAGCTCTGAACGATGTGCTGCTCTGCGAGGTTAGGACCCAGAGCCCGGGCCAGTGGGACAGCAGCCTCGAGAGCAATAAGGCGCACCGACTCCTGATCGTCCTTGAAGGCGAGACTGCTGAAGAGAGGCACGAGAGATGTCACTATCTGAGCGCGAGCCTCTGCCACCTCCGGTGTTTCTTCGATTGGAGCGGAAATGAGAGAATCAACTTCGCTAGTGGAAGTTGCGGTAGCGGTAGGCGTGGCTTCTGTGTCCTGCTGTCCAGCAGGCAGCCGGTCCAATGGACAGTCCTCGGCAGTTTCCTGCTCAGCGCTAATACCGGTCCCACCAACAGGACCTCCAACTGCGCTTCCCACAAGCGAGGGAGCGGCCGCGGCGTCTGATACAGGTGGGACTCCAACCATGGCGAGTGCCAACTCACCCAAAACTGCAGCTAGGGCACGCCGAACCATTGGTGTATCGTCGCTAGAGGAACAGCAAAATATGCTCGTAATCGAGGTAATAAAACAGGAAAGCAGGAATCGGTACCCACTTGGTTAGGGACTGAGCAAGGGCAAGAATTTCTTGTCGAGACGAGGCGTCCAGACGTCCATAGACGACAGCAAATAGGCCACACGCAGAGGCGCGACTGCTGAACCAGTCTCCCGCAGCCAGACGACGCACTAGGGGGAAAACTTGCTCCTGTAAATCCTTGTCCGTGTGCTCGCGTGCTAGTAGACGCAACGACTGCACCGCCTTTTCTCGTACATTAGCGTCTTCCACCTACCGTTGCCACAATGACAAAGGCGAAGTATTTTAGTCGACGTTTTACTCAGTGCAAAAATGAATACTTTTGAGAAAGACTAAGCGTTTTAAATGAGTCTCTGAATTGCAAAACCGTCTTTGCCCGTGGTTTATTAAGGCAGCGTGCAGAATCTTGTCACTTTCTAAGTGCAAAGGACGAAAACCTGACTCGATGCATGACAAGCGCGAAGTAAGCGCTAAAATGGAAAGAAGTTGGTTTGGTACAACGTCCTCTCCAAATGCTGACTCAAAAATTGTTCGACCTTCAAATCAAAAGGAACCAAGGTGTTGATACGGAAGAGTAATGCCTTTCAAAGGCCGTAGAAACCATTAAGGAGAGTCGAAAAATCGATACCAAAACGAAGCATTTGAAATGTAGTACCCATAATAGCCTACGACAAAAGAGAATGACTTTGTACAAGTATACTTCGGTATAAATGAGTAAAGCCGTGTTGCAATGAATAAGGGCAGGAGAATGAAGGCCTTCAGAATACACGAAATGGGAACCTAATCAAACAATTTTAGGGATGAGTAGGAAAAAAGACATGGAATTAGACATCATTATTACACGGACAGACAAGAGCACAGAACCAGTATGAAGTAAAAATTATGGTCAATGAAAGGTATAGCGCTTAAATGAACTCACAAGAGCAAGACTCTCCAGAGGATTGATGAGGCAGGGTGCGAAGGCGACACCACCAACGTAAGGAACGAATCGCCCTAACTCCTCAGCTATAGCAACCATCACATCCTCCACATCATATATTGAGTCAATGAGAAATGGGATAAGCTGGACGCGTGTCTTTTCTGGCCCAAGCGCCAACGCAATCGTGGATAGTCTTTGGATGCTGTTTAACCGAAAACGCACGTCCTCGTTGCGTAGCTCTTCAATGAGAACTGCTAGAGGGTAGAATTCGTCCTCCTCTTGTCCGCCACTTCCACCCCCTCCGCTTGTTGTACTGGGCTGTTGTTGGGGTTGAAGTTGGGTGTCCGGTCCATTACCAGGGGCTCCTGTGGCAGGTGATGCACTCATGTTCTGTTGCCGAGGCGAGAAAAGTTAAAGTTCTCACAATCTACCAAAACAACAACCAGAAGAAACTCATAACGAAGGCTCTGTAATTTTAGCAGGACAACAAGGAAAAAAGAAAAAAATGCAGGCATATAGAACTGCCACGGAGTGGATGTCAACGTCAAAGACTGAGCGATTGCAGGGAAATATTTAGATGCATTAATAAGTGCAAACAGCAGATTTAATCCGTCTAGGTAGATCAAATGAATCAGGGGAATTATAAAGTACCACCCAAAATGGCGATGAACGAATCTCAACCCGACGAAAGGAGAACAAACCAGTAACCTTCAAAATAACCGAAAACGTGATATGATGTTAATACTTCTAGCTCATCGAAGAACTTGATGGATAATTAACGTGTCGATTTTCCTAGCACAATATTACTGACGATTATAATCCACATCATCAACTTCTGCAATAAAAACAGCACTTAGTGATGAGCTCCATCCTTCACTGTATGAGAATGGTAAAGAGGAACAACACTCCTTGCATTTGTTCTGATTAGATGTCGAATCTCCCCAATTAAAAAATAATTATTATTGGATTGATTTTATATAGTGCGTTTCATAATATACGAATTTTAATTGAGTGCTGACCAGCAAAACCATTCAGATTTCCCATTTCATTCGAATAATGTTATTAGCAAGCGACAAGTCGACCTACCCATTTGAAGATGGTAGTGGTGCATACGTTATTATACTACGTATTTTTGCCATGCATCATCTGTAATGCGTATGGATTAGAGGCTTGAGGGTTTCCGCCCCTTTCTTCCCCTTCTATGTTCCAGGCCCTTTGGTATCCCTGAGTATCGCTTGATCATTCAACTGCACCTACGACAGACGGTTATTTTGGCACTTATATCTGTATCAGGCCAATGCTTAGTCTCTTATATTTCTCTTTGAATGGAAGTACTCAGTGTAGCCTCCCAAAAATTTACACTAGACAGAAAGTAACAAATTAAACAGAATACATTTGTTCTGGGGGAGACGATGGGATTTGGCCTTGGCTTTCCTTGAAGACCAGCTCACGTGTACAAGGGCAAAATGGACACCAAATTTGACACCAGACACCAGGTAGTGGTACATACAAAAGCATTACATTGAGCTCTATCGAAATTTCTTTAGCAAACTTATGGGGACTCGCGGGAATCTACACAAATTAGTCACCCAAAAGAAGGCAGATGATGGTGATGTTGGGACTAAATCGTCTTGTTTAGAGTTCTGTGAACAGAGAAGTTGAATAGGGTCTAGCGACGTCGACGTGCGTTACCCAGTACCATCACAAACAATCTTCGGACTAGCAGCGTCTCCCCGTAAAGAAACTACATCCACTGATATCTAAATCACGTGACCTACGCATGAGGTTGGTTCACACATCCCTTAAACATCCTTTATGAACATCGCTTAATGGGCAATACAATGTCGATTCAGACAATTGTGGCAGCATGTCAGTGATAGCACCTTAGTATGTTTCGAAATGTTTAACTTCAAATTTTGGTGACGTGTGACCAGATTAATTTGTTGCATTTTTACTGCATAGGCTACCCTCTGGACCATGCCTTTGGCCCAGATTTCTATTCGTGCACGAATCGCATGCCTTCATTTGCTTTCGGAGGAATCTCAGAGCACTGCAGCTATAGTTGCGAGGATACCATTTTTAACCAACGCAGCTAGCAGTCCTATTTATAAGCAGTGCCTTTTATAAAACATCATTACTGGATAATTTGTGCGGTTCCCGCCACTAGAAGGCTGATTGTTTTCAAGAGGCCTTTTTTAGATTAAGGGGGATCGGTGCAGACTTGACACCGTCTGGATATGTGGCTTCACTCGGCTTATGAACATTCGCTGGCTTATCAAGGCTCGAACTTCAAATCGTATTCACATCTTTTGCTCAAAGGATACACCACATTACATCACTTCCTTATTATCCTGATTTCAAGCATTGTTAAAATCAGAGCAGATAGGGAAAGGTGGTGATTATCGATTCTCGATAGGTGTTGGGTTCGATAGGAAAACGGAAATAGCGCTAAGCATACACCTAAGCAACCAGGTGTAAATCAAATAGTCAAAGAGAATGAGCCTCTAGAAGCATGCTTATCGAAACATTGTCAGCCGTACTACTTTGTGTACTTGAGGTATATTAGTAGATTTATTGACCCTACTGGGTAGGCAGGACAATGAGCTATGCCTTAAGTTCAAGTCCCTTCGATTTTGCCCGTGCGTTTTATTAATCGGACTATTACTTATCATCTGCATATCCTACTGCATTGCTTTGTTTCTGTGATTGCATGTATGAACGGTAATCAACGTGGTCGCCAGCTTGACTTTGCCGAGTAGCCAGACTGGTGGAGATGGTTCGTTGGCGTTTCCTTGCAGCATGTGATGTGTATTTTGTTGACTGACGCAGTAGGCATACCATCCATCTGGATAAATGACGTCACTATGTTCATTTGTATGCTTGAATTCCAGAAGAATTACTAGAGATTATACCTTGGCTTCTCACGAGGGCCAGATCACACGTACAAGGGCTAGGGGAATTCGAAATTAATCGCCTAAAATCAGATGCTCACGTAAACAAAGCATAAAATGACAATGTAACGGTTCGTTTGCTAGAAGCATTGAACATTTAAAAGGCCATTTATCTGTGAATTGATTGACACTTATTTGAACGCTGCTCTGGCAAAGCCCAGGTGCAGTTCTTACGGTCCACACTGGTTCTGTCGTTCTCTGATTTCTTGCTTTCTCCAGTTGATCTAGTCGTAGGGTCCGAGGAAGGCAGTGAGTGGAGTTGAATACATATGTTCCGAGGAGGGCGAAGTAATAGGACGTGAAATTTACGCAAAGGCGTATAAAAACGAGACGAATCTGAAGGCAGTCGTCAGTCATTAGATGGTCACATCCTCAAAGTTCCCGTTGATACACCTCCCGTGCCAGACGTCACAACATATTCGTTTCTGCAAGAAAGCGTTCACGAATTAGCCACACCAATCAACAGCTACCATGATAATGAGGAACGGTACTTGATGGCCCTAGCAACTTTAAATACCTGAAGTACATTCGGTCTGAAAGTCGGATTCGGGGCCACATTAATTTATTGACCACCAATTGCCTCAATGACTAGACGGTGGAACTCTGGTCTAAAACAGATGGGTTGCCGAGAGAACGGGATAAGCCACTGTCCCGTACATAAGGAGGATCGTAGTGTCATGGTGGGCGCCTTTACATGGATTTTATTATGAGAAATTCTGACACGAACTCGTATCCTATTGTTTACGACAGTGTCGCTTCGGCATATAACGAATTGTCAATGAAACACGAGGACAATATGAAGCCAAACACCAACATTATTGTCGACTTGTTGTTATAGAGAATTCAGAGATTATCACGCCCCAGATTTAAATACACCTCCACTTCACCCCAATGGAATTGTTAAAACTGTTAAGTTTGCTTTTCGCTGCCACCGCTGTGGCCATTCAAGGCTTCTTATCGGGTAGAAGATATAAAGCGGAGGATGGAGTGAGTAGATCTGATTTTACCCGAAGGCCGGCTCAAGCGTACAAGAACTATACAACTTTAGAGTAACCAACCGACAATAGATGACCACACAGTGTTGCACTAGTTGTAGCGTCCCGAGATTTTATATATGGTGGAAGAAGGCAGTAAGTGAGACTGGGTACATATATTCTGAAAAAAGCCGAGAAAATGGGTATGAGAATGGCCCGAAGGCCAGTCCACGAGTACAAGGTCCAGACAAATCCTGAAGTAACGTCAGGGAATCAAATAGCCAAAGCATTAAACCAGTCACCTTTCTTATGCCCAGTACAGCCCCTAGGCGCAGACCTGAGAAAGCACTCGATAGGAAGCGTCCAATGCCTAAAAGACAACGCCTATGGGTGGCGATCGATTTGATGACCATCATAATTTACTGACAACAGTCTTGCCGCTATCCATTTTGTCTGAATATATGTGTTTTTTCATGCTTAATGCCCCCCATGGACACAAGGCGATTGCTCTCAAGCATGTCATCGAGTTTGATTCACCACCACCAATAATATCAATGTGTATCATTGAAAGACGATTTGCATGCCGTTTATGGGTCGAAATAACTAGCCTTAATTTGAAAATGCGGTAGGGACGAAAACTTCTATACCATCTAATATGCCACAACAGCCTAGCTAATTTCGCAATAATTTCCAGAAGGATTTTTATGAAAAATGAGTACCAAGGAAATCACGGTGAAATTTAATTTACACGTGTTTCTAACTTGCAGTAAATAAATCGTTTGAGTGACTTTAACTGCATTTGCGGTTGTTGATTAAAGTACGTAGCGACTTAGCCCGAATTTTAACACCTGCAATGGCCGCTTCTGAGGGTGATGAGGCCGATTTATTGAATAATGACGATGGTTACAAGGCTCCCGAAAAAAAGACACTGGATGAGTTGGTCAAATTAGATGCAGAGGATGCAAGCCTTCAACGATATAAGGAGAGTCTCCTAGGTGGGACCAAACTTGTGAATCCTTGTAGGCTTTTATTCCTTGAAGCCATATTTTTATCCTAGTTCCAAATGATCCAAGAAAGTTTATTTTGGTTAAACTTGAGATCTGCGTCAGGGATGGTCCCACACATGAAATCGACTTAAAGAGTACGTTAAAAGCAATCGACATCATTTGGTTGTATGCCGAAGTACCTTCCCTCATTTTTTCATCTTTATTGAAATATGTTTTTATGACAAATATGCTCGGTTTCGCGCATAGTATGCATTTTTTTTTCCAGATCTAGATGGTCTTAAGGACAAACCAATTGAGATGATAGAAGGTTCGCAGTACCATGTCCAGGTCACATTTTATGTTCAACATGAAATTATTTCTGGTCTCCGCTATGCTCAGAAAACCACCAAAAACGTCCTCAGATGTAAGTTGGGCTCTTCAATATTTGGCTCGCTTGAGTTCTTTCATGTGGACCTTTCCTACAACTAAAACCACAGCTTCTAACTTGCCATCTATTGTTTTAAACTTTGAGCACAAACATATTGGGTAGCAAGAAGACCCCTCTTTATGGTCACGGTAGGGCATTAATATGATTAGCCATTCGTGCGTGCAATGCTTTAGTCTAATTTTCTTTTCATCGATTTAATTCTTTCGTATTTACGGATGAGTACTTCTTTGTTGCGAGTACCTAGAATTTTTTAAAGCGTATCCTGTCTGAAGTGTGCAGGCTCGTAGCTTGTACTTCGGTTATGCCTGTAGGGAACGTGTCAACACTCAACGGCTAGTCTGACTAATTACTGTGTTTCAGGAGTGGGACCTGACAGTTTCGAGTCGCGGACCTCGGTGCTAAACCACTGCCTTTTGTCTTGTCATATTCGTTTCGATAGGTTCTTACGCGGTTATTCCAGTACATTCGCCTTTCACCAAGTGTCACATTTCTTTGATAGCGTAGAGTTTGTTTGATGTCAGGAGCAATGTGCCTGTAATCGAATGGAACCAGAAACTACTAAACTCGAGGAATTTACGACTGTTTAGCGCGGGCGTAATCGGTGTCTGGAAGGTAGATCGGCCATGCAGTGTGGGTGGTTGGATGCTATGCCTATGACACTGTCACAATGTTCCACAACGATTCCGTCACATTGCTCTTGAGAAGAGCGGTGCGCGGTAGCCGCTTCGTTTTTTCTCTTTTGAGTTGGGTCAATTTGCGATCGCCTGCCATCAGAAAAATTTGTAGCGTATTTCCGTCGTTAAGGGTCTAATTGCGTTCGTTGTACTCAGCTTTAGGAGGGAGCAAGTTGATGCCTACTTGAGGTGGACGATTTAAACTTGCAGATTCCTCTCGCAGTTTTCTTTGGTAGCTTCAACTAAATTATTTTCACTACCTTGAACGTTTGATCCAAATATAAGACGTTTGCGTTGGAATGAATTATGCCGGACTTTCTCTTTCAAGCTCGAATGAATTCTATGTGCGTGCATTGAAAGAAGCTAATAGCTCGATCAGCGGACGTCCCGTCCAGTGAATAAAATTTTGTTGGGACGAAGTGCCTTCTATATTTTGATTATTTAACTCCCAATGGCAAGCACAAAACAGCAACCTACTTCATGATATATTTCTTGTTTCGAGAACGTCATTTCCTAACCGAGCTAGCATCAGGCGCACCCCAAGTGTGGCAGTTTTTAGTTTGTCTTCCTATGGCTTAAGTTGCCTAGGCAATGCTCCTCATCTTGATGCCAAATCTTCTGAGTCTATAATAACGCGGATAAATGTCAAAAATGTTGCATGTGATATTCTCTTTGTTAATTTGGATGCATCTTTACGCTAAGTGACGGTAACAAATTGGCAGAATTATAGTGACATAATTTAGAGGATACTTGATATTTCTGATTGTTAGAGGTAAGGAAGTACCATTTCAGTGACGAGTTTGTATCACAGTGTTCGCTTCAGCTTCGAACGTGTCTAAACTTAAGAAACTTTTATTGACTCACGATCGTCAACAAATCAAAGCTGTCTTTGGAATAAATTTCCTGCACGAGTACCGCATACCGATTTGACCTCCACTGATTTCTAAGTGTAGCTCACGCAACCCTTAATGTTTCTGCTTATTTGCTGTGTAGGCAACCGTAGTGGAACTGTTTGCTATTGTCATTTTTAATGCTATAGCGGTGGACAAGGTGATGCTGGGCAGCTATGCTCCAAGGGCAACGCCATACGTATGGCGCTCGGAGGATGAGGAGGTGCAATCGGGCGCACTATTTCGAGGACACTACAACGTCACCAGCGTCTTCACCGATGATGATGAACAGGAGCACCTTAAATTCAGGTGGGCCATCAAAATTGTTAAGTCCTAGTGGTCACTTCGGCTCCCTATGTTTCACAAGTCACCATCCTTCCCTTCCCTCTCCCCTGCTTCTTCCCTGCCCAAGCAGTGAACAACTCAAAAACTTAATTCTCCCTCATTGTGCTTCCGATCGCTGCAGTTCATGCGTCTTCCGATATTGCAGTTCCTTACCTCTTTGTCTCTGGTTTTCTGTCAGCCTCTGAACGGCCCAGTTCCGGTGTATGTATGATTTCAGCTATTAGGGTGCCGTGATATTGACAACGTACCTGCGAGCATTCATAGTGGTGATTTGCGTTCATATGGTGCGTGGGCGCACATTGTCCAACCTGTCGCAGACGCTAAACAGTGTTTCTATGCCATTTTTGGATGGAAATTATGCCTCACTGTCCCGTGTGTCTGATCGCGATGCGACGCTGTAAAGGATTCAGTTTTAGAGTACTATTGATCGCGCTCCTGCTGTAATTCAGGTGAGATTCCGCTCTATTTATTCCACGTTAATAAGTAGCAAGCATCTTTTAGATCTCTTTTTTCCGACGTTACATCTGAACTTTACCCGATTTCGTACCTGGCGCTACCACGTTTCACCTATAGCCAGCCTCGAACAGAACTCCATGGTATTTTATTTCACGAATCTAGCGTTTGATAAGGAGTCTTCAAAGCAAATGGCTGTAGCTATCACAAGAGTCTAATAAGCCGAGAGTGACGCCAGATGGAGTTAGCCCTACTCTACACTGTGCTGGTTACTGGCGTGAGAAGCACACTGCTTTATCGATTGCTGGCCTCGTGGTGACATGTGACTGGTTCTACTGCCGTGCCAAAGGAGCGTGTGAGTGCACGCAAGGGCGCGTGCTTGCCAGAAAAGACACATGGCTGTTAATGTCTATTTCAAATTTACCGGTTTATATTGAGCGCTGTCATTGGCCACTTCAGAATCACAATAAGCAGTGTGGAAAACAATGGCAACTAAAATAGGAGACAGTGACGTTTAGTCTTCCTTTTGCCATGGTAACAGTGAGTAATCGATCTCAAGTATAGCGACTAAAGCAAGTGCGCATCGCAATAGAACCCTCCATGGGATGCCCAAATTGGCTCTCAAATTCTAGGCACAATCGTGCACAATATGAGGCTAGAGGAAGTGCGGTCATTGTTGAAACGGCGGACTGATAGGTGAAAGGAGTCCGACTAGTATCCACAAATTTCACTCGAAGCAACATAAATCTGAAGAATCACCCTTGCTTACAGGATGTCATTTGACCAAAGATTTGTAACAAAGGTCAAAACAAGAAAACATCATAAGGCTATTGACGTAACCGCACCGCGAGGTCTTTGGGTGATGTTCTCAATTCGCCGTCACTAGATTTAATCTCAATCTTCACGCTAGAATTAAAATTATAACAGCGCGTTAAAAGGGGTCACCAGTCAGACCGCGCGTCTAATCGCTTCCGGAGCCAGAAATATGGGTGATAAAGTGAACAAAGAAGGCAAGTAGATAAGTTGCAATCTGGCCCTGTGAATGATATCTGGATCAATGTAAACATATTGGCCAGGGGGTAGAAGACAAGTAAAGACCAGAAAACAGAATGGAGATACCCAGGACCCAGGTGACAGAGAGGAGACCAAGAAATTGACATCTCTACAGCTGCTTGGTAGTGGGGATTCAAAATTTAAATACTGAGCATGGTTTCCTCTACTGTTTTCAAAGTGGGGACAACGCCACCACTCAGGGGAATGGTCTGATTAGAAGGCAAACACGCCAACAGAAAGTGGGGGTTAAGGAGACGGATTTATGAATATGCCTGCCCATATTGGATCGAGCCATTGATACTGAAGAAACCACAGACGAAGCCTCCGAGCATGACAGAAGCACTGAGAAAATGTTACTGGTTCGACACCAACACAGATCAACTAACAAATACACTCAAAACGAGCTTAAATAAGGGACCAACCGTGTGTGTTCCTTTATGACGACGACGGAGATAATTGAAAATAATTGGAAATATTTGCTTTGATTGATCACGGAAGATCGACCATATCGCTAAAGAGTAATACCTATGTCCTCAAACCACTCACCTGAGTGCAACTGGAAAATTAATACAGCAGAGTGGGATTTTTACATGGCAGTAGATTTAAGAAGAGGAATGGAGAACGTGAGAATCTGATTCTCATTTCACAATTTTTTTCTAAATCATTTAAGGAAGCAAAAAAAGTATCCGAACGACGTAATTCTACAGACGGAGTCCGTAAAACACAAAAGGAGGAGGTGAACTGCCAAAAACACGGAAGCAACGAAAGTGAATGCTTGCCTAAACAAGACATGCATAACCCACAAGTACTACTTATGCCAAGTAGATAGGGAAGTTGTTGTAGAATGCGCTTCTTTAGAGTCATGCTCAAACGCTAGAAGTGGTATGCGACTGGTGCTTTCAACAAAGTAAGGGTTCTCTGTGGGTTCAAGAAACAAAGACGACAAGGACCATTGTAGAGCAAGTTACCGAACTCAGGAGCATAGTCTCTATGCCACTGAGTTCGCTAGGATCAGGTTACTGGCCCACTTTAACATTCATACTCTAATAGTCTACAAAATCAGACAAAGGTGGAGCAGCATCAGTTGATGATGAGAAAATCGAAGCAACAATGCACGAGATAAAAAGAGAAGGCGAGAACTTCGATGAAAGATTTATAGTCATTAATCATTTCGACAATGCACTAACCACGACCAACTAGGAGAGCTATCATCCCGTCTACTCACGCTTTTCTGCAGCGTAAAAATGAGGAATATGACCTTACTCAGCGGTTTTCCTTCTTTCCACATTGTTTTAACCACACTGGACTCCATAAAACCGTGACCTGGTTTCGCCTCAAGTTTGACAACAGACCGAAGTGCTTGTGCACATAACTGGGAATATCTAAGATAGCTGTGAGGAGTGTGAACAAAATGAGGATCACATACGAGAAGCCGCTATTCCTCCAGTAAAACATCTCCCCGCGGAAACCAAAACAGTCGCCCTAGAGGTGACGAATTAAAACAATCTTGACGACTACAAGTACAAAACTTCTGTTCTGTACAGAAATTTAAAATTTTTCCTAATATAACCGGTTTTTTTTAAAAATTTTGTTAACGCCTACAATTAACTTTTCACTGCCTAATAGTATTTACTTTTTGTATATAAAATGTGGCAGAAGACCACGTTATCAAATCAGAACTGTACGTAGCATTATCAGGCATATATCTGTTATTAAAAGACATTAAGTTTGGCTGAGCACTTGAATTTCAGTTAGTAAGAAAAAGTGGAGTGAAGAAACAAGATAACCACCTTGTAGAAAGCCACGGAGGTGAGGCGGTCATTTAACGCGAATTCCGTGCTTGAAAAGCGTGAAAATCATTCTGTGGAATAGCGACGGATGGCCGTCCTAACAGTGCCCGCACTCTTTAATTCTGCAGAGGATGGAAATAAATCCTCTCACAAGAACTACTTTTAACCTAGATGTCTGAATGTCTGTGGGTGGGTTAAGGGCACTGTAAACAGAGACTGCCACTTTTCAAAGAAGGCGCGTAAGAGGCTGCTAGCATGTTCCGAGAGAGTAAATCGGATAGTAACTTGTTACAAATGTAAGCTCATGAAAAATGGGAAAAAATAAAATTTTTCTTCCAACTATATGGGTGATCTAAATAATAATGCATCTCATTGCTACAATATTTAAAGAGCCACCATCTTAGTGCTCTGTTTAGTACGCCATCTGCGCCAGTCAACTAAATACACATCACCTGCTAAAAGGAAGCGCAAACGAACCATGCGTACCAAGCACTACTTGTTGTATGATATAAAGGATGTAGTTTACACTCTCAGTCACCTTAATTAGATCTTGAGTTACGCTTGGTCTCCAAGTTGAAAATCAAGATGTATGCTTCTGTCTGTATTGCTTTGTTTATGTGACCATCTGCTATTTGGCGATCACTATAGGATTTGTATGGCTCTTGCACACGTGGGCTGGCCTTCAGGCCATGCCCAGCCTCAGTTGCCTTCTCACCTTCGGAGTTTATGTATCCAGCTGCACTTGCTGACTTCTTATTACCGCTACACTGGTGGCAGTGGAAAGCGAACTGGACATTTTTTAACGACTTTTAGGTATGTAGTGCTTTTGAAGATCTTCTGCTTCAGCTAAGGTGGGGTCTCTCTGCGGCTTATTCTTCGTTGGTGGTTTGTTAAAAGCGACACAGTATCCGGAAGAATCTATTGTCTAACAAATACCGCTGTCTCACTAGCATCCTACGTTTGCGTTGTTGTTGTTGTTGTTTTGTCAATTTATCGAATGATTTCCGGAAAAGAACAGTACGAACAAGTCGACGAGCAATGGTTCGACCGGGTGATGCAAAGTTTCAGTGCCTACAAATCGCACAGAATCTGGAGATGTATGTCACTTGGTCTTGGTGTTGATCCTCTGGGTTTGAGTATCTATGAGCCTGATAATTAGTTGAACCCCAAAATCGGCGTTCCTTGGCCGGGAATTCGAAATCTCTCATTTCACGACAAGAAGCTTATAATCCAACCAGTAGACAAGACTGCAAAGGAATTCAACTTTTTAGTTGAGAAACTCACGAGTAATAAGCGTATTTTGGCGTTGTGCACCGGCAATTATGAGCTATGCATGCGTAAAAGGTAGTCAGACTCTACCGAAGTGCAATAGATGAAAATACAGGCGAAAAGGGGATGTGAATTGAAGCTAGCGCATTCACCTTGGTGATGGCGAATCCCTGTATTCTTCACAACAAAAAGTTTTGAAACTGATATCCGCATGTGGTTTCACCTTATTCCCGTGTTCCACTGACAAGGTAATAGCAACTGAAGCGATACCACTGTGAACTATCTGGAAAAGTTTCATGTCGGAGCTTCCCGTACAAAATCCATGTTTAGGTGTCGGAAATGACACCACAGTTCTCCTTACATAGGGGACAGGGGCTCGTCTTGCTTTCCCTGTAACATATATGCCTTAGATCAGAGTTCCACCGTCTATTCCTGAGAGCAATTGATGGTCAACAGGTGTGTGTGGTCCCGAATGTGGTTGTTAGATCGAACATAAGTGCAGACTCATTTGAAGCTGCAGAGAAGACGACGTACGGTTCCTCGCTCTCGTGTTGTCTGTCGACAAGCGCGGTTGGCTCGTGGGTGCTTTCTTGTAGTACCGAATATGTTGCAATGTCTGGTGAGGGATGTGTACCAAGGGGAGCATCGAGGACGCTGCTCAGAAGAGGAGAGAGGCAGTGTAATACTTTGTTTATGTGACTGAATGACGCTTGGCGGCAACTATAGGAATTGTCTGGCTCTTGCACACGTAGGCTGGTCTTCCGGCCATGCCCAGCCTCATTTGCCGTCGTCTGTGAAATACATATATCCAGCTGAACTTACTGAATTCTTATACCGGCTAGGAAGGTTCGGGAAGTTACAATGTCAACTTCCAATTTTGTTTAAGATTAGGCGCTGGAACACTGGTCTAAAACAAGTGCAAAACAAAACAATGGGTTTGCATTCAGTCTCTAATGCGTAAAATCTTTATGGGAAACTCGGAGACAAAACTTCTCCAAATGGTCCGTGGAGGTGTCGCTTCAGTTGTTAATAGCTGGTTCGTAGAACACTCAAGTGAAGTAGATACAGGATGTCAACCCTCCTGCTGTAGAAAAGTTGGAGATTCTCCCGCTCAAGTTGCATGCATTTCACTCACACTATTGATTTGCCAAATACGGTGAAACCCAGCACTGAACTCATGACATAGTCATGCTTGTTTCTTGCTACCATTAGTGTAATGTATAAGATGGCAGTAAGCGTGGCTAAATACCTATATTCTGGCAGAAAGCGTAAAAGCAAAACTAAGGCATGGTCCTAGGTCCAGCCCAAGCAAACCTGATCCTGAAAAATACGCTAGGATTTACCAGTCATTAATGAACTCTTATATACATGTAGCATCACGATTATAGGCTGTAGTAACTCTTGTCCATAATTATGAACTTTCGACCTAAGCTTTACGGAATTGTAATATGGTTCTTTGTTTAACTGTGCTCAGATTAACTAATACTGTTTTAAACCCTGTAGCATAGGTTTCCGTGTCCAAATAATGTAGTTTTTATATGTGCTGCGCACTTATAGCATATAAAAACGTTAAATATTAACTGACATTTTTTATTTGGATGATGGGCCTTATTGTTCATTGAAACTAATAGCTGTCCTTCATTCCTATTGGCCGAATATTAAACTACTGCATCACTGTGTTTTATATTCTCCTTTTATGAAGTCGTTTAGGTTGTACAGCTTGGTGGTCCTTTTGGTTGGGTTCAGCACAATATGTCCAGGGGCTCGGAACATCGACAACAGTTCTTGTTTAACAATGAATTAGTTGCTCAGATGTTGCCAAGTGGGCTTGTTTCCTTCAATCGTCAGATAGGCGGTCTTAATCCGGAGAAACCCTTAAAGAATAAGTGTAAGTCTAAAAAATTGACTTGGTGCTTTTGATACGGGCATGTTTTTATGTACTTTTCGTGATAGAAATGGCCAACATTGATTAAAGCATAAAACACTTGTTTTACTGTCAGCATGCATTAGAGTATTTCCCATTCGAAATTTGAGAATGTGCTTATTTGTATATGTCAGCCATTATAGTTACCAGTGGCCCCATTTACTCCTAAGTTTCGAATCTTTGGATCTTCTTTCTTCTTTTCTTTTTGGAATAAGCTATTTGCACGTTTGAATTGACATTATTGAACGTCGTTTCCTCCTAATTGTTCATTGGGTGCGGTTGCTGCTAAATCATTGCGATCAAATTGAATTGCTTTGCTTTGTTTAGCCTGAGTTCGGTTCGGTCTTATTAACGTGGATATGTCTATTGGAAAGTGTGAAATTTTGTTTTATGAATGTGTTGTTGCACTTCTGTTAGCTTCTATCGCGTGATAATCTTCTAGATACTCAATGTTGATGCTAATAGTCTAATGTGGGATCGGTTACCATTATTATTGGATGGGGTGGTAATTAGGTTGTATTTGTTCATCATTTGCTCGATCAGATCTATTGTTTGAGCTTATCACCTTACGAAACTGTGGTGTTTTCATTGGAAGATTTCTTCTCATTTTCTTGATTTCAGCACAATATCAAATCTTTCTGTTGCCTAAAATTGCTCCATTTGCTTCATGGTGATCATCTATGCGTCTGCCATTTCAGCGGTCTCGTTCCATAAAGTGGTTCACTCTTTTTCCTCCCCTATAGTCCTCTACGACACCGTTAATGGCACAGTTTATAAAGTGCTCTCGGCGCGTCGCAAGGGTTTTAACGAGGCTCGTTTCTATGCTGAGGTGTTTGCTCCTGAAAACGCTACTGACGCCGTGCTCAGTCGTCTGAAGGCCTTTTTGCCTGCTTATCGTGGTCTCTTTCACCAACCGAGCTCTGGGAGTAAGCTTAACTGTCGATGAATGTTCCACTCTTCCGACTCACTTGCACAGTAGCCACACGAAACTGGGCTGTTTGATTTCAGGTCACAGGTTTGGGCTTTATTAAGCTATTTAATAGGGCTGAATATCTGAAGGATATAATTACTTCTATTTGACACTGATGTCCTTTCCTCATTCCAGTCAGTTTCACAAAATTTATGCACTCCTACATGCAACATAGGATAGAGAAGGGGATTTATTACATACGGCCTCACGTGCTGGTTCTGCTTTGCCACGGTTACTGAGGTCGCGGTCAAAGTTGCCAGTGTAAAATTACCCTGGAGCATACAATCGGATAGTCATGTGGATGTGGATCAAATTTGGTGCGTGCACTACTGCTCCCTATCACATGCTGTTTGAAGCCAGGGTTTTGACCTCACAAACCATATTTATACACTCATACTTTTTTCAACAAACTAAATAGCTCTATTTAAATCCATTTTAGTCAGGGTATTTTGGGTGTCCCCAAAATCGGTCTTATTTTAAATCGCTCTATTTTAAATTGTCACTTGAGCAGTTCACAAATCACCCAACCTCTGAACTATTGGGACGTGGAGAAGTCTTTTTCGAGCCATTTTAATGTCTTACTTTTAGCAAATGTATATGTAACGCGGAGTGGCGCAATTTGTTCTAATGAATTGGTAAAGAGAACATGCACAATGCCTCAATTTTCACAAGCAGATCCGACTGCTTGTATAGGTGGCATTGATGGCTAGTTATGGCTTGAAAAAATATTAAGTAAAGGTTTATGTCTGCCAAAGGTAATGCACAGTTTGGTTAAAACGCATCACGTTAAAAGATATTCTTCAAATAATGCTTCTCGATGTCACCAGTTGAACTCTGCTATCGAATTTCGCTGGTAGGCCTTCTTCACTCACGTCTCCTAATCTCCGAGTGTGCTGCGATCCTTGTATCTCTTGGAATAAACTGCATAAATTTTTTGTGCTCATTAAAAGTAGACACATTTCACGCAGGTGTGCGGATCAAACCAGCTAACTGATTAACTTTGGCGTCAGTTACTTTATCAACTTGAGTGAACGCAAAATCTGTTTGCAGGCAGAAAAATTGAGTACTATTGTGTGCATAAATTTACTCTCCAGAGGTAATTACGAACAGATTATATTTACTTCAGTGTCATTGTAAAATAGTGGGCACCAGAGCCTCTTCTGTTCACGCCGCAGTATCAGCTGTGGCTTGTTAAAGTCTGAAGGGCTGTAGACCTTTGTTGCAATGGCTTTCAGACTTCCTGGTGGCAATGGCAGATATGCAATGGGAGATGGAGCAGCCTAACGCGATGGACATCAAATTGGGACGTCAGAGCTACGGTCCTTTGGCCCCGGCCGAGAAAATGGTCATGGAACAAGCGAAGTATCCATGGCGGCGTCAGTTGGGTTTCTTCATCACTGGATTTAGGGTGTGTTCTTAAATTATCCCTTCCCATCCTTTTCTGCTTTCCTCTTTAGTCCTAGTCTTGGCTGAGCTTTGGATCTTACCTCCTCCTACCCCCATGGGAAAATGGGAGATGGTTTGTGCAATGGAAGACTACCTTGATGCAAGATATGCTAGGAATGCCGCTTTAAGCAAATAATTTTACAGGTTTCGAACGTTGCTCAGTTAGACTGCGTTCAATCCTTCCACCAATTAGTGTTTGCCTGGTATGCCTGAAAGAGCTTTTCGATTACTGAGCTCACTGTTTGATAACAGCATTTCTGTTTTAGCATTAATGTTTTTTGAAGACAGAATCATGGCTTAAATGGCGGTTGTGTAACCTTGTCTATTGAATTCAGTCGTCTGCAAGCTTATCAGTCCATACGCTTTCACGGAGGGCCTTCTGAAACCACTTGTCCAACAAAATGACGCCAAATATCCTTCCATACTGTTCAGAATTTTCGATCTCGGAAGAGTTCCAAGATTGAGTCTTCGGATGAGATGTCATTATTTCACTGAGGTCCATAATGTTGGGACTTGGTACTAGACCTCACTGACGTGCCTCCTGTGTTACATTTGCATTTTTTTAGTTATCACTAATGTCCTTTCTGCATGTGTATATGTGAAATTTCACGGTGTGTTAGCTGAGAAAATAAGGAACGTCATTGTACTCGCTGATATACCTTATACGATCCCCTCTCGTGACTGGCTTCGATCGCTGTGATCTCGACCCATCAGCTGAAATAGCTCGATTCGGCGTAGCTTACTTTCTGTGGCAAGCTGCCATTTGTTTGAGATAATTGGGTTTCCGAGACAAAATTAAGTCCTTGTTCTTTAAAATGGAATTGAATCTTCAAAGGAAGCACTACTATTTTTGCAGGTGGACGGTGCCTTCTATGACCGTCTCTATGGAAAGGCACTATCTCCTTCAACGATCTATGAAAAAGGTAAGCTTGGTCATCAATCCAGCCTCGATATAGTTGTTCTTCTTTCCTAAAACTGTTAAACTAGTCACCTCTTTCGATGCATTCTCCTTCCTCTCCCAGGCATATGCTTATTTCTCGATGGGAAAGGCGATGAAAACGTTATGTATCGCCGGAGCACCCTAGCGTATGCGTTCGCAGAACGTCTGAAACATCTGATCGAGTGGTTCGAAGCGCAGACACTTTATCGTTTCGTGGCCTCCTCACTCTTCCTCTGCTACGATTGGTCCTCCCCAAGGTCGGCTGCTGATCTTGCCTTTCCTAGTCATCGGTTTTTGCGTCTCCACCTCATCGATTTTGCACGCTGGTTCAAGGTTTCCGACCTCAATGTCGATTCCTCCCATGATGATAACTGTTTGCATGGTCTGTACAAACTCCAAAGGTAGGACATCTGACTCTAATCTTCCATCTTTTCCCATAAGGTCATTGCGGGTTCAGTTTACATTCGCTTTCCATTTCAAATGGTTTCATCAATTACACTTGGCCTTTATTTTCATCAAAATGTCTTGGAGTCCAGCTCTTTTTCTGCTATTCCAAGGCTAGAAGTTCTAAGCCATATCTTAGTAAGTAGTACGACTGAACTATCAATCCATTGTTTCTGCCTCGTCTTTTTGTACAGCACAAAACTGTTTTCGATTTCCAGTTGCTTTCACCGTGCGTGTTCAGAGGCGTCAAGCAAACAGACTTCTGAGGCTGATTTCTGCGTTCTCGACGTCTAGCTCTACGCTCCCCTTGTTGATGCTTCTATCGTTCCTATTTTTTTCAACCTATTCACATCCTTGAGGTGTGAGCTCCGTTTACCTTTGATTTGGCCTCTTCTGTGGACCAGGCGACAATTTAAAGGAAGAAGGGGACAATTATTCAATCTGATTGATGGTGTCTCTGCTCACATCCAATTTATCAAAAATCTAAGCAAGTGAACAACTAACTATTTGGAACATCTGAGTTATGAGAACTTCGATGAAGTAAATCCGTGCTTATACTTCCATTAACTAGGTTGGAAGAGATCGACAGCACTTCCCCGAATGATCTAGAGGTAGTGTTTCATATCTTTTGATTGTTTACTGGGAAAGTCTGAAGGAGAGAAAATAGGGGTTCACATGAATTACAATGCTTAGTGTGGTTCATTGCGTTTGATGGACTTGTTAATCATAAAGACCACTTCAGGAATCGTCATCGTGTAGCACAGTTAACGAAGTAGACACCGTTCCGTAATGTACCGCGTGGGGAATCTGTGGCTGCAATGCGAGGTACTCCCACCATTTTGATGGAAGTTGAGTCTTACACTACGAGGAGGCGGACTTATACAGCGTCGTAGTTGGTCTCATTGAAGTGATGGGAGTGAGCCACATTTTTATAACGAGGGTTGAACGACTGAGGTACAATAACCACGGAGAACTGAGAGCTGAGTGGTTGTAGGCGTGCTCAAAGCTCGCAATGCTGCCATTGATGTCAGCGCAGTGTCATGAGGTTAGGACAGCTAAATGAATGGCGAGGGGATGGCAAGATGCGCGTTGAGAGATCAATTCGTTTCCTTTCCGCATTTGCAGTCATGGGCGGAGCAGTTTGCCGTGCTAGCGGGTGAGAACTTCGCATTCCTCTGTTATGCTCTAATTCTGAGTGGTGTCCCTTGAGCCATGTTAGTAGCGCTTTGTCTCATCCGGAAGTCTTCGAATTGTGCACGAAATCAAGGAAAAGCGTATTTCTGAATGATATCGCAGAACTCAGAAGTGGAATTGATTTCTTGAGGGTCCAAATCACAGAGTATATTTAAGTATATCGGCTGAGGAAACAAATTGCTATGGAGTATACGGAAAGCCAAGGAGTCTTCTAATTTTCCTGTAAAGTATTATTCATTCAATTAATCCAAGCCCTATGCAGTTATACCCCAAGAGAAATCACAATTCTCTTTGACTGAAAATGTGCGTTTGTCATTGGTAAGTCTGTTGGCGGTATGTCTCAGAGGAAGGCTCTTAGGCATCTGCCTTGATGGATCCCATTGTCAGTCTTGCAGCGTGACGAGCATTGCAAAGGAAATGTCTAGCAACCAACTCTTTTGGCGATCACTTTTCCATAAAGTACACCACAGTGCCACATCTCACCTAACAATTCTGATGGAATTAGAGCTCCTTCCTGTTTCGTAATGTGGTTTAGGTTTGATGAGGTGTGTGGTTTTGTGCTAGTTGAGTACCGCATGGCTACATTTTTAGCTGTTTTAGATGAAGCATAACTAATTTTTATTCCCCTATTCACAACTTTCCTAATGACCATGAGACTAGTTCAGATCCCGAAGGTGTGTGTCATTTTCAGTCCAACTGTTAGGGATCGCCGCCACAGATCCACAACGAATGCAATTCTTTCGTTCAAGATGGCTGTTTTGCAGAATAGATTTCTTTATTGATGTCGCCAATGCATTGTCTAGTGACTTTTTTGAGGACAAACGAAGGGGACACTCTTATCAAAGGGCCTACTGCCTCAGCTATGAATAGTCCTGCTTGATGAAGGTAGCGTGTCAAAGGACCCAGATAGGATCTTTAACAACGTGGTGAATTGAACAATGAAAGTAATGCGAGAAAGGTTGGTGCCTGAAATTCTATTTTTAAATAAAACTAAAAAGGGAACGTAGAAGTTTCTCTTCTGGCAAATAAATTCGCACAGCCTCTTGCAACACCATCCCTTTCCAAAACAAACAGTCGCTAACTTACAGTAGTACCTCCTTGAAAATAACCAGAGACGACAGACCGCTTTTTGTCGGATGTCATACTTAAGCAGTCGCGTCAGCAACGAAAATATGAAAAATGGTTAATATTCATGTGGACTTCTGGAAAACCTACAAGCTCAGGATCCTTCCCAACAGTAATGGCAACTTCATTTTATTATCTAGTAATGGCAGATCCCTCCACTTTTGACATTATTTGGAGTAAATTCGTTAGCATCCTTCCCTTTCGTAAGAGGATTCTCTGTCCTCCTAATTAATGCCACTTCATCAGTATCATGACCACTTAAATGACAATTTGACTTTGGAATTTCTGCTACAATTAAAATGAAGTCTCAACATAGCTATTAATGACCTGTTCAAAAAAGCTGAAGCATTCAGTGATGTCAGGATTACTGTTTTGACAAACAGTAGAATGAGTATAAGAGTGGGATGTCGCAATTGCTTACTGTTTTGCTCTAAAAAACGGAGAGCACCGCCAACGCATACGAGCGCTGTCGGTCAATCGGCTGAAGACGATTGGTCACCACTCTCCATCTTTTCAATTGATGTTTATTTGTAATTGGCGCATTATTTGTGACAAGCAAAAAAATACAATGGAAAAGAAGGGAAAGAACTGAAATTGTACACCTTCCACGATCATAATGCTTTTGTTTTTATTCTTTCAGAAGTGGTAGTATGCTGGCGCAAGATGAAGACGTTACTGACGTGGCGGGACTCTTGGAAGACGTTGAAGTGATCGCAGGTGTCACCGTGAAAGTCGTCGACCTGGCTGTGCAGGAGAAAGTCCTCATCTGAAGATTGGCTGATTTGATTATAGGAGCTATCGAGTGAAGTTGGCATCATTTTTAAATGGATGTACTTTGCTATATCGGATGTACTTGTTATACCATAGACTCTGGGATGTTCTCTTTAAGAGTGGGCTTCTAAAATCCAGTTTGTTCGAAAACTCATTCCATTATTCAGTTGCGCTGGTGCTTAAATGTAATAGGGAGTGGATACGCGTGAATGAAGTTCCCTGTAACCGTGGTGATCAGGCAGGCACAACTTATATCTGCAGTTCTTTTTTCGAACTCGTCAACACATCGAAATGATCCCTGCCAAGTCTTTACCTCTTGTTCAACGAAACTGGGCACCCAGCGAGTTCGAACTTACACTAAATGCAAATGATTGCCATCCTCAATGGAATAACTCATGTAAATCTTCAGAGCATTTGATGCAAAAATCTTCCCAATAGTTTTGAGTGCACTAGGAAAGCGTGAACTTGAAGTGCTCGCATATCTTTGATGAGGAACCAAAACCATCAACAATGAAGAAATCTAGGATTTCATATTTTCACTTTCATTAAGATGAATGGACGGTTTCAAGAGCAGGTCGCTGCCGAGCAGCAATGAAGAAGATAGATGACAGCCGGACTGCTTAGACCTTTACACTAAACCGACAATTACGGCAGATGGCGAGTAACCAGTCGACTTGTCCTCGAACAGTTCATACTATCAAGTTCACACTAAGATGGTTTGGCAACCTATGAACCGTTTTAAACAGCGCATTGCTCATTCATCGCACGATTGCACAAAATGTTTGTATTCTTGCAATGAAGCTGCCAGCGAGCACAAGTAACTTCCATCGCCTTTGAAGTGGACAAATGGCTGAATGAGAGATTAACAGAAGAAGGTCACGACTATTTTGAAATGTGACTTTACTGTTCCAAATTCATGGTGCGTTTAAAAAACATCAGAGGAAATGGGTGTATTTTAGACAACCGTGCAACGAAGCCCTTCTTCCTATCTCGTTTTGGCATTTAAATTGTCCAGTTGTAGTCACGATACCGAAACCCGAGTAGGTCTTAGTTCAAGGAACTGATGATTTCGAGAAATACATAGTTAAAAGAAACCGAAAAAAATGAACTGGAAGTAAACGCTAATGGGAGAGACATGCTTTTGATAGCACTCGTTTAACTAAAAGATGATCACAAAGAAGCAACACAAACTTTTGAATTTCATTACCTAATCGGGTGTCAGAGTGAATCCAAGATCACATGAATGCGATGACACCTACTTAGTCGCAAACTCGCTGTTTAGGCAAGCACTATTCGTAATCGTCAAAATTCAAACTTCAGAAAACCCATGAGCGTCAAAAATGATGCCGTGCTAAAGATTTCAACATTAGGAGAAGCTAAGGTGGAGAGTTGTCGCGGTCAAAACGACTTTGCAACAATGGGCCAAAACAAAAGGTCAAAACATTAGAAAAATAAGACTTGAGCCAATGTGGTAAATTCGTCATCTGCTGAATTCCACATCCACATTTCCTATAAGGCACCAAATCACTGCATTAATTTCCGCCAGGAAATGCGCTGATACACACATCCTCTCTTATTATTAAACCCTACAAGGCCCAAAATAACCTGTTACAAACTATTTTTAGTTATACCTTATCAAGAACGCAGAATAGGACAATTCCCGGAATTTCTTGTCTTCACAATGGCGTAGCTTCACTTCACCTCGTTTGACAGTGGAATCATTAAACACTTCCGAGATTCACTTCCCAGACTTGCAAAATAGTTCTGATATCCTGTTGAATAACTCCCACTCAAGAATGTCTGCGAATGCATCGAAAGCATTCCTCTTACGGCTTTCTGGAAGTTCTTACTCTCGTCACAAACTACCATGGACTGCAGTGTCGCGAAATTCGACTTTTCATCGCCTAAGAGTAGACTTCGAGTACGCAATTATTACTAGCTACAGACTAAGATGAGATAACCAGAACTCCATAAATAATACTTTATCTATGGGACTCAACCATTTACCACGCACCTACTGACCGTGCCTTCAGTGCACACACATTTAAACAGCAGTTCTCACTATCCCTACCCGAAAACATAAGACCAGCAACGACGCACTAAAACGCAGTAAGCTGGACAGCCGTATTGCGCAGACTTACAACAATGCTGAGGAGATACCAAAAGAAGCCTCAATATCCACTCAAGTAAAATAAAAAAAGTTTCATAAAGCATAAGAGACATTAAGAACCAGCTGGAAGAAATTCACGAAGCACATAAATAAAATCTCCCTTGGGTGGCATTTACGAAACTGGGACATTAATGGTTTCCCGGCTTCTTCAACAGGTCACGATACACTTGTCTGGTATGCAGGCGACAGAGCCGACAAATGCGATACCACAGAGGAGCAGAGCTGACGTCATGAGAATGAGAAGGAACAGTCCCATCTGTTGGTAGCACCTCAGTTGGCTAGGTAGCACCGCAAACCCTGCAATTGCGGTGCTCAAAGCTGCACCGGCCACAGCCCATCCTACCGTCTCCAATGCTCTCTGACATCTCTGTTTCCATGAAACGCCCTGACTGCCGCCGGATCTAATGATAGCCAGGGCCAAGTGAATGCAAGGATCCACAGCAAGGCCTGCAGAAAGACTGAGGATCAAAGCTTCAACGATCCCAAGGGTCCAATCTCCCAAGAGCACGAGAAGAAGACAGGACAGCAGGAGAGAAGCTATCACCGACATAAGAGCTGTTATTGCGAGAGGCAGATTTAGGGTAGAAATGAGGATAAGAAGAGCAGCCAGTGAGACAGAAAGACCTAGCGAAAGAGGCAGAAACTTGAGCACGTCCTGATAGGGCTCAAACGCGGTCAGTTCCGGACTCACAAGAAACCCGCCCGCAAGTCCATTCGGTGCAGTTGCAAGGAGATTGGAAAACCAAGTCTCCACTTGTTGAGTGAATTCTTGTATCGCCGAAAAAGTGGTGTTAGAGAGGGAGAAGTTGGCGGTGACGGAAATCACGAGACCAATTGTGCGCATAGTCTCGAGAGAGAACCTAATCCCAGTGGGGCTTGATGAGGTTTCCGCGAAATTGTTCAGGCAAGCAGCTGTGTCATGGTAACACACTGGTGTGGATTCGTTATAGTCTCCAAAGGAAAACATACCCCGACCAAATACGCAACCATAGTTTTGTAATGAAAGAAGAGTGTCCTTCTCCAAAAAGCTCATACGAGGTGGAATGGAGGGGAGAGCAAATGAGTGCGGCATTCTAGTGATCTTTGAACAAAATGTGGATAACCAAGAGAGAGACTCGGGCGCAGTAAGATTAAAACTCGCGCTCCAGAGAGGTTGAGGAACGACTCCTTCATCGTCGTAGGGCGTCCATGTCCAGTGATTACGCGGATCGTGAGGCTGGACACCCCAAACAATGTAAAGGGAGATGAGGCCGCGATGGCTACGAAGAGTGTACTCAGCCCAAGAAAACTCCCCTCCTCTGATGCGATAGACCTCAGCAGGGTGAGCTGATCGGTAGAATGCAGGCTGGAGGGAGCCGGAGGGAAAGGTAAGCCATCCAGCGTGGAAAAGGAGGTAAGCCGAAGTGATAATAACGGAGAGGAGCAGGACGGGAAAAGCGAAGCGCGCCTTGATGACGAAAAAGTTGGCAAGGCGAAAGTGAGGTGGGTATAAGGGGCGGAAGATGTGGTAGCAACGGCGGCGGTGGGGTGGGACGAAGAGGAGGAGCAGAGTGGGCATAACTGCAAGGACATAAACGACATGGCAAACAACGGTGAGGCTGGCGTAAACAGAGAAGCGTTTGACTGCAACGATGGCTGAGTTGAGGCTCACCAACAGACCTCCCAGTGTGGACAGGCTAGTCAGACAGACCGAGGGAACTGCGTGGAGCAGGGTGAGGGCTATTTGCCGTGTTCTCAAACGCAACCTCGTCATCTTTTCATCTCCTTCGCCTTCATCTGTAGCCCGGCTTCCACTGTGATCATTTTGCAGATGCATGGAGACCCAAATCTAAGACAATGCATAAATGAAGCATGAATGCATTGCTATTTTACGTTTACGCATGAGCAATAGAATAGGGTACTAGAGTGACTGCGTAAATATCTACAAAACCAGGTGCTACACACTTTAAGAGGTGACTTTTGATTCTTAAAAACTAATTACTTTTGGAAGTGCACCGACCATGAACTACTAAAAGACTTCTAACACGATATTGCCAAAAGTTCCAAGATTACATTACCATTGGCGAGTCCGAAAGATTTATATAATTTTGCGTTGCAGTTAAGTGCGCTATGGCATCCAGTCAAGAAGAGCAAGCATGCGGTAGTAGAAAGATATTGGGTGTTATAAGGACACAAACCGCTCGGCCAAGTACCACAATGAAAGTATGCAATGTTAAAAAATCGAGTAAATCATTTAGCTGGTTTATCTGTTGATACAGTCACATGCGAATTGCTTCAACAAACAAATCTCAAAAAAGGTCAAATGTCCACAAGAATTTGCGGGAAATTTCAGGATATTACGGGAAAAAAGATGATGCTTCAAACACGTAATTATATTTCGAACTGGAGCAAAAGGGGCTATTATGGCAATACGATACAGAATGAGAATCTTGTGCCTTTTCCTGCTCGTCCTGAGTAGACTTTGACGTATAAAGATTGGTCGAAACAAAACACAGCACTGTGCCATCATACCTCAAACCTTAACCATTCATGAGAAAAAAATCAGCTATAGGCATAGAAACAAGCAGTAGAAAACGAGAAGGATTTTGAGAATGGAACACAAAATTAACGGGTTCTTTGCTTCCTTTGACATCTGCAAGGAAATTGACTTTAAACGTATGAAACAGAACGAAGGAAAACAGACAAAAACGTAGACCTGAGGATTTCCCCAAAAAAACAGACTAAAAAGATGAGGAAAGAACGGAGAAATTTAAAAGGCAGTTGAAGCACTTTGCAAGAGTTCATTCATTTGTAAAAGAATTGATATTGAGACGGAAGTGAATAATGTGTATCCGGAGGAATACGCTTGCGAAAAAATAAAGCGGAAGTGAGAACTGAAGAAAGGGAACCCGATTTTCATCGAAAAGCAGTAGCTAAACTCGTAAGGAGTGACTACCATAGCTCAAGTATTTCGTCGATCTAGTGAGTTCAGCTATTAATTTCTCTGTGCATACCACATATAAGAAGATTGAGCCCAGATGACAATCGAGACATTACACATGTTCAGCGATGATAGATAACGCGTTGAAGTAGTGTAAAAGAGCTAGAAGCAGAAAGGGGAACAGCTAGCCTACTTGGTAGAAAAGGAGAATGTCATCAGCACCGAGACCGAGAAGAAGGACAATGCCCATCATGTTGAGAAGAGGGAAAGTAGGGAGACGAAGAAGGCGGGCATAGAGACCGTAAGCAAGGATGAGCGACCATCCAAGGGCAAGAAAGGTGGCACCCACCACCACTACGCTCCCACGCGTCAGCAGAAGCAACAACAACGCCAGACAGGCCGCGCCTAATGCCAGCCACACGCTGTCCCATGCCACGTACCGACCAGCCAATTCTCCATATACCCCCAGCTCTATGGCCTATTACCAAGAGAGAGGAGAGAAAGGTGAAAAAGTTAAAAAAGCACTCTAACAACTTTTAAATTTGACCCTTCTATAAAAAGTGCCGTTTTATTACACTTATGCTCACAGACAGTACTGAGGTACAAGCACATATTAATTTCGTGATACTTGGAGTAGTGTACGAATGAAGCTAACAAAAGTGCAAAAACATTTCAAAGATTTCCAGAGTACTCGCATGTAAACGAACGGGTACAAAGCATAAACACCTCAATGGCGAGAGAAGGAGTAAGATTCCGTGTGAGATTGGTGAGAGTTTGTGGCCGGTCAAGGGAAGCGAGATGCCAAAGTTTAAGGCCTACGCGCTTCCAAAGGGGTAGTACGAGAAGGGTGGCATTCCATCCTCTACTACCGTTGAGATGATTGTGATTATGTGGGGGTGGCAAAGCAATCGCCAAAAGCAGCAAGAGGTGTGGGTGGACGAAGCACCGCACAGGCACCTCCGGACACAACCATCGCGATGGTGCTGTCTCGTCCCAACAAGTGCGTTTTAATGCACCTGACAGAAACGACATTTTACACGTCTCGTAGAGGTCTCTCACTCTCTTCACATCTCTCTCTGTAATCTGAAAGTGCATAGCTAAATGAAATTTCAAATAGGGCGCGACAAATTGAGAAGCGAAGCCGTCTTAGGTAACATAGGTCAGCCATGAGTTAAAAACTACAACCTTACCTGATGGCAGGAAGTTTTGTTGGTGATGGAAGCAATGAAATTAGCCAAAGACCAAATGGGACAGCAAGCAGAATTTGCATCAGTGAGGGAGGCTTTGGAACAGAGTTGCTTATAGCCCGGCAGAGCTTCAAAGCGCGTTTGAAGTCGACAAACGCTCTCAACGGCTCCTGGAACCGTCAGAAAAGTGTCATTTATCCTTCCCTTCCCAGCATGTAGACGTACTACCACTTTACTCATCGACTCAAAACGACTCCAGAGCTCATCACTGCCCTGATCTATAAGAAGAATGGAATAGAAGTCACGTGGCAGAATTCGAAGAAAGCGCATAAACGAACCTGGTAACTCGAAGCAGAATTTGATCCTATCTTCCACCATACTTGATCTTGCTACTCTGCTCTGACCATATTTCTTGGTGGGAAGAGAAAGTGTATTTTGTTGGAGAGCTTTAAGCTGATACAACTTCGCAGCCATTGGTGTCCCAATTGTGATGAACTCCTGTGAGGCAAAGTGCAAGACGGATCAGAACAGTAGAAAAAATGACGAAGTAGGTTGACATTTTACAGGGCGTGCATGAGATAACCTTAGCCGGATCATCGAAGGAGGGTAAATCGGAGAAACAAATTGAGACGATGGCGGAGGCGATGAGAAAAGTCGCCGTTAGGAGGCCATTTATGATTGGATGTGAAGCTAGCCATTTCGCGTAGCTAACCGATAACGACATAGATAAGTGAGAAAATAGGCAGCAATTAAAAACTGAACTCACCGGTGGGTGAGACGATGAGGTAAACGCAATATCACTCCCCGAGGTTTCGGTGATTCAACTCGCTCTGTGGCGACAACATCCGACATTTCTATCTAGTGAAGACGCAAGAAACGGCTGCACTAATTCTGCTTACATTTCAAGTCCGTGCTATTCTCAGGCGAGATAAACTATTAAACACTAACAACTATCAGACGGTATGTCTTACGCCAAGAACGTCCAGTTGACAAGATGCTTTAACAAAGCTTTGCAGTTTGTTTAAAAATTTCCTACCCTATGCATAAAATATTGCAAGAAATCAAATGGCAACAAGAGTACTTCGCTTTAAACTCGTGTACGAAAGGCGGTACATATCCAAAATTAAATGCATCACAATAGATCAAGCACAAAAAGATTCGCATTTCAAAACTCAGAAGTTAGTAACTCTATAGCAATACAGACCGTCTCGATAACTAATTTTGCATCCACAAGTTTTATATTGATACAATTTAACCGTTAACCTAGCTGACAGTTTACTTGGTCAAAAACAGGTTTAATGAAGAGAAGGAAACGACAGAACCGAACATTAAGTGGATGCAATCCAGGCTAAAATGAGCTATCGCAACCGACGCAAAAGAGCACACGAAGGAAAAAGTCGACAATGCGCGAGAAGGGCATGATTAAACTAGCTTAGTAGAACGCATTAACACACATCCCAAGGTTAGATATGAAGAGGAAGTGTAGGATGAAAGTACGAAAGTTGGATTCAAAGTAAGCAAAGCAGCATTTTAACCATATTATTTTACTAAACTTTAAAAGTTGGTGCCTATCCCAACACATTTAATATAATTTGGGAAATAGAAATCTGTGGGAGGTTCCTTAAGAGAACGGTGTGCCAAAGTAGACTTGGGAGAGGTGAATGTGGGCCACCAAATTTCTTTATGCAACACGTCTAATCAACACACCTGCAATGTAGTAACTTTAAAACAAAACCACTAGCAATTAATCGCGCGGCCATATGGGTTAGGCTCAGTTTGATAGCTCGTAAACAAAGAGTTTTGCGCTGCATTATTATTTGTAGTCATGTGTCACCATTAGCATATAGTGTAATTTCCCCGATTTCCGAGCCGGTATACGAAGTCAGTAAGTTCAGCTGAATGCATGTGCAGCGTTCCGAGGCTTCCCATAGGGTGGAAGAAGGCATAATTGAAGGTAATTACATGTATTAGGAAGACAATAGGACAAATGCGGCCTGAGCGTGGCCTGAAAGCTAGCCCACGTGTACAAGGACCAAAAAATTCTAAAGTCACTGCCAAACGTCATACGGTTACATAAACAAAGTATTACACTGCCTCTCCTCTTCCGAGCGAAATCCTTTTGGTACACATCCCGCACCAGCCATTACAACATATTCGGTACTACAAGTAAGCACCCAAGAGCCAACCGCGCCTGTCGACAGACAACACGAGAGCGAGGAACCGTACGTCGTCTTCTCGGCAGCTTCAAATGGGTCTGCACTTATGTTCGATCTAACAACCACATTCTGGACCACACACACCTGTTGACCATTAATTGCTCTCAGGAATAGACGGTGGAGCTCTGATCCAAGACACATATGTTACAGGGAAATCAGGATGAGCCACTGTCCCGTATATAAGGAGAACCGCGGCGGTATTTTCGACAGCTAAACATGGATTTAGAATGGCAAATTTCGACACGAAACTTTTCCTGATGATTCACGGCGTGTCGCTTCAGTTGATAACAGCTCGTCTGCGAAACACGGGAATTAGGTGACACCACATGCAGATATCAGTTTAAATCTTTTGGTTGTGAAAGATACAGGGATTCTCCGTCCCTAAGGTAAATGCGCTTCCTGAACACCGTAAATACATGCATAAAACGGTACGTGTTATGATGGGGTAACTGGAAAAAACGTCGGGTTCGCTAATCGCTGCCACTAATGTAGTGTCCCGAGACTTACCATAGGTTGGAAAAAGGCAGCAAGTGAAGTTGGGCACATGTACTGCAAAGAGCGCGAAGCGACTTTACCTGAGCATGGCCCAAATGCCAACTCATACGTAGATGAACAAACATATCTCAAAGTGGCCGAGACACATTGGGTGTTACATAAACGGAACCTTACTGTAATGCTTTGCTTATGCGACTATCTGACGTTTGGCGGTCACTTTAGGGCTTGTCTGGGCCCTGTGCACGTGGGCTGGCCCTCGGGCCACGCTCAGGTCCCGTTTCTCCTATTGCTTTCGGAATACATGTATTCAACCCCACTTATGCCTTCTACTACCCCATTTGGAGCCTCGGGACGCTACACTGGTGGCAGCGGAAAGCGAACCCGACATCTTTTTAACAACTTTTAGGTATAAGGTGCTTTTGAAAGTGATATAGTGTGTGGGAAAATGTGTTGCCCCACAGACATCACTGTCCTACTGACATCCTACGTTTGCCTTGCTAAACTTTGCCAATTAGCCGACTGATTTCCGGAAAAGAACAGTACGAACAAACCGAAGAGCAACAGTTCGATCGGATGATGCACTGGTTCAGTACATGCAGATACCCCCAAATCGGGTTCCCTCGGTCGGAAAGCCGAAATCTCTATTTTCACGACATGAAGGTTATAATCCAACCATCAAACGAATTCTGCTTCTTAGGAGAGAAATCCAAGATTAAGACGCGCATTCTGGCAATCATGAGCTATACATGCGTAGAAGGAAGTCTGACTTTATCTATCGAAGTGCAGTAGATAAAGATACAGGCGAAAACAGGACGTGAATTGAAGCGGACGCATTTACCTTGAAGACGGAGGATCCCTGGACCCTTCACAACGAAAGGGTTGAGACTGACGTCTGCATTTGGTTTCACCTTATTCCCGTGTTCCACAGACAAGGTATTAACAACTGAAGCGACACCGCCGTGAAATATCTGAAAAGTTTCGTGTGGGAATTTTTCATACAGAACCCGTGTTTAGGTGTCGGAAATGACACAACGGATCTCCTCGCATACGGGACAGTGGCCCGTCCCCTTATCCCTGTAACATATCTGTTGTAGACCAGAGTTCCACCATGTATTTCTGGAAGTAATTGATGGTCGACAGATGTGGGGGTCCCCGAATCTGGTTGTCAGACCGAACGAAACTCCAGACCCACTTGAAGCTGCCGAGA